CCCCCCCCCCAGTGCTAGGGATTAAATCCAGGACTTCACACATGCTAGGCCAGGTTTCTACCAATGTAGCTACATCCCCAGTCCCCCTACATTATCTTTAAAATCAAAAATGAAAAAGAGATTCTAATATAAAACTGTCCAAAAAGAGGTATCCTTACTCACTACTGAGGTCTAGGAGCACATACCTCCCTGCTGCCCAAGTCTCCCTCCTCCTGAACTTGTGTGCTCTAATGCCTCCCATCAGACACACTCAACTCTCCAGTCTGTGTCCTGAATTTAGGACTTCTGCCCACCCCTCCTCCCCAACTCACTCCTTCCTCCCACTGTGGATTGGCTCATCTTTCTCACCAAGGCCCCAGAGATGGCCAAAGCTAAGGCATATCCTCACTGATTACCTCGGGTTTAAGAGTATCTCCTGCCTGGAAACTGCCCTATGGTTTCCTGATCTCTTCCTTTCATCTCACCCACCCTGCTCTAGCCCACACTTTTCCCCAGAACCTGCATTCCCAATCACATCTCCAGTTCGGTGCCTAATCCAGCCAGAAGTCCTCTCAACCCATCTATTTTTGTCACTGGTACTGCTTCTGTTTCCATATGGAAACCGCATGGTCTCAATAAGCTCTCTTTTAAGTCTTGTGCCCTATCAGACCCTCAGGTTGATTTTTTTTTCCTTTCTCCTGTCTCAGAGAGTTACCCTTTTATTCCTCCACAGCCCTTACTCAGGATCAGATCAAGGGAATGATGCCCCGACTGATTTTCCTACCTCTTGCCTCATCTTCCCTAGGTTCCTCTGCCCAGGCCACAAGAAGATACTAAAATGCCCTAAGTTTACCATATGACTTCTTAAATGATAATTCTTTTATTTTTTTTTTATTTTTTATTTTTAGAGAGAGTGAGAGAGGGGAGGGAGAGAGAGAGAGGGAGAGAGAGAGAGAATTTTTAATATTTATTTTTTAGTTCTCGGCGGACACAACATCTTTGTTGGTATGTGGTGCTGAGGATCGAACCCGCGCCGCACGCATGCCAGGCGAGCGCGCTACCGCTTGAGCCACATCCCCAGCCCAAATGATAATTCTTTACTGCTTCCCACCTGAGGCTCCCTGTGACCTGGTTCAAAATCTTCCTTCAGGTCCTCCTTCCTTTTCCTGGCCTTACACCAAAAGAAAAAACTGTCATCCTCTCAACACTTTCAGTCTCTCTCCTAGACCCCTCATAATCCCATATTGGTTGTGGTCTAGCTCAATCATTTGTACCTTTATTTCCTTATCATAAATATGATAAACATGTCCAACCACTGGAACCTGTCATATCTATTCACCATTAGGAGATATAGTGTTCTGGAAGGATCTATCTCACAAGCATCTCAAAGTGCCTGTGGACATACTTGCTAACCACAGACTCTGGGCACTTGGCTCCTATTTCCAAACCTTAACTTCCTCATCACCACTGTGACCACCATACATTCAAGAGGCCTCCTTCTCAAGGGGTGACCATGATGACTGACTGTCTTAACAAACATCAACCTCTCAGACAGGGTTGCCATAGCTTTGAGCTCAGCAGCTCATCTTCCCTTTTAGTATACATGTAGCTATTCCCTAAACATCCACCATAAGAACAAGCATAATAAAACAGGAAGATTTCCATGTGCAGGCAAAGCGTGTTTTTCAAGCACAATTAAAGGAACTCAGTTAGGTGCTGAGTGGAGAGTGAAAACTAATTCCCTGCTATGAAGGAGCACAGCCTGAAATGCAACATTGAAGACTATGTATTTGCAGAAGCACTAGCCATTACCAAAACATCACCTTCAGGAGAACAGGTGTTGGGGCACAGGAATTCAACAGAACCACAGTCAATAGTTAAAATGAGCAAATTAGAACTTGAGATACAGTTACCAAAATTGTAAAATCTCAAGGTCATACAGAAAGAAAACAGCAAATTGCAGAATCACTATAGTACAACTTGGTTTACAAAAAGTTTGAAGACATACAAAATGATACTATCCAATATGGCTTATAGATAGATAGTATGGCATAAAACACTATATAAACACATTTATAAGAACAAGAGCCAGGCATGGTGGCACACACCTGTAATTTCAGTGGCACAGGAGGCTAAGGCAGGAGAATTGCGAGTTCAAAGCCAGCCTCAGCAACTTAGCGAGACTCTAAGCAACCTAGTGAGAACGTGTCCCTAAATTAAAAAGGGCTGGGGATGTGGCTCAGTGGCTCAGTGGTTGAGTGCCCCTGAGTTTAATCCCCAGTACCAAAAACAAAACAAAACAAACCAAGAAACGTCAAATTCAGGATAAGCATTTTTTCTAGGAAGAAAAAAGGGAATGTTTTGCTTCTTAAAAAAAAAAAAACAAGAAAAAAAAACATGTAAGACAAAACATTAGAATTTGACAGTAATATTATTCCTGCTATGTACTTATCCTATTTGAGATGTTTAATAGTGAAATTCTCAAATATTCTTTCGAATATGTAATACATTAATGTTTCAAATTCAAAAGGCCTTTCCATGTATGCACCAACCAGATCTCCTCTCAGAGGAAACTTTTATTTCACTTTCCTGCATACCCTTCCAGAAGGAAATCTGTGGGTTTTTTCCCACAGCACGGGGGATGAAACCGAGGGCCTCATGTACGCTAGGCAAGTGCTCTACCACTGAGCTACATTCTCAACCCCTGCCCAGCTGACCCCCAATCCTGGTGAAACACATGGGCTTTCTCCCATTGTTTGCTATTGCAAACAGTTGTGCATTTAGTCATTTAGATGTGCCATACGTGCAGCAGATATCTGAGGAATATTTCCTAGATACAGAACTGCTGGGTCATTTTATTTTTAGAGTACACTTGTCATTTTAATGAACATTGCCAAATTGTCCTCCATAGAGGTTGTACCAATTTATTCTCCCCACCAGCAAAGAATGAAAACTTGATTCAGGCCACTGTCTAGCTTACCAAGAGTGTTTCTTTTACATTTTTGCTGATTTAAATTAAAAAGAACAGCAATTCTGACTATAACCACATTTTTGTAATCGGTAGTACTTTTTAAAGTAAAGAATTAGGTGAAGCTGGGCATGGTGGTACATGCCTGTAACCTCAGTGGCTCAGAAGGCTGAGGTAGGAGGACCACAAGTTCAAAACCAAACTCAGTAACAAAATAAAAAACAAAAAGGGCTGGGGATGTGGCTCAAAGGTTAAGCACTCCTGGGTTCAATCTCTGGTACAAAAAAAAAATTAGATGAAAATGTGACTCATTCTTTGTTAATCATTTCTGATGCTTTTCTATAATAAATAAATGTTCCTGGAGATGGGTGTTGGTGGTGCACGCTTACACCAGCTACTTGGGAGGCTGAGGTGGGAGGATGGCAAATTAGAAGCCAGCCTGAGCAACTTGGCCAAATCCTGTCTCAAAACCCAATGTATGTGTGTGTCTGTCTGTCCTGGGGATGGAGCTTTGTTGCAGAGCTCTTGCCTTGCATGTCTGCGGCCCTGGGTTCAAACCCCAGTACCACAGTGGTGTTGGTGAGAGGACTCGTGGAAACTCAGACACTGGCATCCATCTCACCCTTTCCATTTGACAGAGGGTTACCCTATGCTGAAGCCCTCCCCTTACCCCACTCCCATAACATCCCCAATTCTAGTCATCCCAAGCAAGGTTCCTCCATTTCATGCTATTCAAAGTTTTAGGGGGAAGCAGAGAGGAGACTAGAAAGTCCCAAACAGGTACAAACTGAAGGACATAAAACTAATTTTCATGAATTTATGGATGAGACAGCCAAAAGCATTTTGGAGGAATATTCAACCCAATTCCAAACACCATTTACTGAGTAGACATCCTCAGTCTTCTGTACGGCCCCCAAACAAGCAGTGTCTGCCCTCACCGAACCCCAATCCTTAGCAGTATGAAGCAAATCTGCAACAAAAGGAAAGCGGACAGCTTGCAGAGAACAAAAAAGGGAGTGGGTTCTAATTTCCAGAAAGGAATCTTTCAAACGGTACCCATTTGTGCTCCAGAATGAGTTTTTCCCAGCTCAAGGCCCAGCCTCAACGAGCTAGGGGCCCCCTGGGGAGGAGCCCGGGGCTTAAGGTGGTGGCGTCCCCGCTGCGCAGGCCCAGATCTGCAGGCCCAGTTCCGTTCTGTTTCCCCTGCCCACTATCTAAAATAGTGGGACCCGAGAATTTTGCACAGAGCGCACGATCCTTGCTTCTCAGGAAATCCCTTAACCTGATGAGGATGAGCACCCGCGGCTGCAGCCTCTGACACCCTCCCACCCCGCCCAGACCTTGACGCGCGGCAGAGCAAACTAAGGCCTGGCAAACCTAGATCACACCAGGTGGCATCGGCCAGATCCGGACCTGCCCGCCTGTTGCAAGTCCAGCTCCGTGCAGCGCCAAGCGTCGCGGCTGAGAAAGGCCACACTTGGACTTGCCTGGGCGACAGGGCTGGCCAACAGATTAGGAAGTCAGACGGCCTGCAGCTGCGCGGAGGCCCAGATCCTCTGCCAGCCAAGAGCTAGCTCTCAATCTCTCCGCGCCCGGGGGTCCCGCCCGCCGCGCCCCCGCCACGTCAGGCCACGGGGTCCCCTCAGGCCGCCGCCCCCCGCGCCTCCGGCCGCGCCCGCCCTCACATTCCCGCGCAGATCGCTCGACCCTGCCCTGCGCAGGTACCTCACAGCCTGCGCTCCCCGCAGCCTCCCCGCCGGGCCCGCACGGCCCACGCCTCGCAGCTGACCTGGTGCCGCCGCAAGCTGAGGCCGCACTCGCAGGGGGCGGGGCGGGATCTTTGGTCGTCACGTGGGTCCTCCGCGCAAGCGTAGTGCGGTGAGGACGGAGGCCTGGGGGCATCGGCTGAGGTGGGGGAGTCACTCTGCGGCTCGCTGCCGGAAGCGGGTGCCCGAAAGGGCTACACTGCAGCCGAAGGGCCTCTGTTTTTCTTTTAAAAGGGCCGCAACTGCGGAGGTGGCCTCCGCGGCTGATGCTGCTTTTGGCACCTGGTGGAGCGGAACGAGTGAATGAAGGAACAAACACCTCCCTCGCTCTGTCATTCACTATCCCTCCTTCACTCACTCCGTCTCCTTCACTCCCTCTGTCCCTCATATTCATTCATCCATCATTCCCTCCATCTCTTCCTCCCTCACTGACTCACTCATTCCCTCCTTCATTCTCTCATCTTCCTCATTTATTTCTCCTTTCCTTCACTCATTCCATTCTTTACTGTCATTCCCTTCCTTATTTCTTCCCTTTCTCTTTCATTCCCTTCCTCATTCTCGCCTTCCCTCATTCATACACACACATCTCTGTATCTCTCTCACACACACACACACACACGATGGTGTCTCGCTATGCTGCCCAGCTGCCTAGACTGGTCTAGTATTCCTGGGCAAAAGCGATGGTTCTACATCAGCCTCCAGAGTAGCTGGAACTATAGGGGTGTGCCTTTGATCGCCACCACACTTCTTTTAAAGTAGATAAGGCCTCTGAAGGTCGCACGCCCCCTGCCGGGTGTGGGGGAAAATACACAAAGCCAGTTTGAACAGGTGTTGATTTTGGTTTTTGTACATTCTGGAGTAAATGGCTGCTCTCAATCCTGAAGCCTGTCCCCAACCATCCTGAGGAACTTGTTGACATTGATTTTTCTTTCTTTATTTTTTAAGGTAATATAATTTTTGTGTTGGATGAATAGATTTCAGCTACTTTTGCAACAAAAATGAACACAAAGGTATCTATCTGGGCTTAATGGTGCACACCTGTAATCCCAGTGACTTGGGAAGCTGAAATAGGAGGGTTGCAAGTTTGAGACCAGCCAAGACAACCCAGAAAAACAGTTTCAGAGGTTCAGTTTGACTGTTGACTGACTTCACTGTTCTGGGCCCAAGCTAAGGCAGAAGGGAATGGTGGAGGAGTGCTGTTTTGCTTATGGATGGGAAGCAGAGAGGGGCATTTTTTTTTTTTTTGCCTCGCTTTCAAGAGGATCCCAGTCTCCAAGGTTGTTTGGCAGTGTCCAAAGTTAGAGTTGCAGACCTTTGTCGTGGATGTGGTCAGGTTGGATGTCCTGCATTGTGTTTCTGAGAAGGAATGTGATGCAGAGGGGGAACGTCACAGGGAAAGATGTGGGTAGTGATGGCCCATGATTAAAAAGAAAGGTGAGGGCTGAGGTTGTTACTCAGTGGTACAGCACTTGCCTAGGGTGTGTGAGGCCCTGGTTTCAATTCTCAGCACCACATATAAATAAATAAAATAAAGGTCTATTAACAACTAAAAAATAAACAAAAAAACATATTTAAAACAAAAAAGAAATGTAAAGGAGGAAGAAAATAAACACTGTGCTAGCTGAGCCCAAAGAACTTCCCAAGGGGTCAGACAAGGGTCCAGAGAGCAGAGGTGCCCAAGGTGAGCCACATTTCTTTCAGGAAGGCTTTCTTTCTTTCTTTCTTTTCTTTTTGTTGTTGTTGATGGACCTTTAATTAATTAATTAATTAATTATTATATGCAGAGGTGAGAATTGAACCCAGTGACTCACACATGCTAGGCAAGCGCTCTACCACTGAGCCACAACCCCAGCCCTCAGAAAGCTTTTTGAAGGAGATGGCCCCCAGCCATGTCACAGGAGGGTTTGGGGGAAGCAGGAAAAGCATTCTAGGAAGGAGACAGTGTTAGCAAAGGCAGGGAGGTAAGATCCAGCAATGTTAATGTTTGGGAGGTTGGTAGGATTTTCTGAGTCTGAATGGAAGATTGGAGACCAGATTCTGCCTTATAGAGGCTGGTCATGACCCAAAGGGCAGACTTCATCCAGGGGAGGCAGATGCCAAGGTGGGTGGCAGACACTGGAAAGCAAAAGGCCAGAGCTGAACAGAGAGGCAGTGGTGAGGCTGACTTCAGGAAGTCAGGGAGTGAGAATAGAGAGCAGAGCTGGCTGGACACCTGGTGCTATGGTTTAGGTATAATTCGAGTGTACCTCAATGTCTATTATGTAAAGGCTTGGATCCCTGGGAATGGTACTGGGTGGTGCTATGCATATTTAAGATATGGAACTTAGTATGAGATCCTTAGGTCATTGGGGACTTGCCTTTAAAAACCCTTGTCTCAATCTCTCCCTGCTTCCTGGCTCAAGATATAACCCCTTGCTCTGACTTGTACTCCTTCATTGCCTTCTGGCATCCTTACCAGAAAACCAAATCAATGGATTCACACATCTTGGACTTGAACCCAAATAAGCCATTTCTCTTTATTAATTTGGTTGCCTCAAGTATTTAGTTGTAGTAACACAAAACTGAATAATCCACCTGGGAAGGAGGCAGTTTCCGCAGTATAGGTAAGATGAAGAAGTGAGCCCAAGAGATGGCCAGGAACATTGGATCCATCCTGGCCCCAGGAAAGCCAAAGTGGGTTCTGCTAAGGACCTTCTTGGATGGGGGGGAATCAGACTGAAGGGGAAATCATTGGCATATCAACTGGAGGTGGTGCATTCAGCCAGAACAAGTATTTGGAAAAGACTAGCTGTAAGAAGCTGTGGTATATGCGTATAATCCCAGATACTCTAGAGGCAGGAGAATCACAAATTTGAGGCCAGCATGGACAACTTATCAAAAACCTGTCTCAAAAAAAAGAGGAAGGGAGGCAGGAATATAGTTCAGTGGTAGAAAGCTTGCCTAGTATACATGAGGCCCTAGGTTCAATCCCCAGCACAAAAAAGGAGGGAAGGAAAAAAAGAACTACTGAGGCATAGCAGTGATCTGGGCATGGGGGCACCCCAAGAGCAGGAACACACAGAGGAAACAGAGGAAGAGTGATTTCAAAGACCCTATGGAAGCTGGGGGTGTAATTCAGTGGTAGAGCACTTGCCTAACAAGCAGAAGTCCCAACCACAGGGGTGGAAAAAGACCAAGGGGACCAGCTGTTAAAAATAGACCCAGAAGAGATAGGAGAAGCCCCGGAGCTGCAATAGGGAGGCTGATGTGTGGTAGGAATGTTGGTGTATTCCCAAAATTTGTATTTTGGTACTTAATCCCCAATATGACAGTTTTAAGAAGTGGGACCTTGCTGGATACAATGGCACATGCCTGTAATCCCAGCAACTTGGGAGAGTGAGGCATAAGTATCTCAAGTTTGAGGTCAGCCCCAGCAACTTAGGGAGGTCATAAGCAACTTGGCAAGGCACTGTCTCAAAAAGGCCTGGAGATAAAACTCAGTGGTAAAGCACCCCTTGGCTCAAATCCCCACTACCAAAAAAAAAAAAAAAAAAAGTGGGGTCTTTATGAAGTGATAAGATCATGAATATAGAACCCTCACAAGGAGATTAGTGACATATTAAAAGAGGTATGAGGGAGTTCAGTCACCCCTTTCACCATACAAGGACACTCAAATGGTGATATCTTTGAGGCAGAATGAGCCCTCACCAACCCTGAACCTGCTGGTACCTCATCTTGGACTTTCCAGCCTTCAGAACTGTGAGAGATAAATTTCAATCATTCAATAAATTACCTAGTTTGTTATGTTTTAATATAGACGCACAAATAGACTGAAACAGAAATTGGAACCAAGAAGTGAGATGTTGTTCTAAAAACACCTAAAATTGTAGAAACAATTTTGGATATAGGTAAGGGCCAGAGGCTAAAAGAGTTTGGAAGTTAATGTTAGAAAAGGCCTATATTGCAATAAACTGAGCATTAAAAGGAAATAATTCCTTATAAGATCAAGGTTCATATTTTTTTTTTACTTTTATTTTGAGATGGGGTTTCATTTTGTTGCCCGGGCTGGCCTAAAACTCTCAGAATCAAGCAATTCTCCTGCCTCAGCCTCCCAAGTAGCTGGGAGGCTCCACCAGCTACTGGGTATGGGTGCTCCACCTTACCCAGGGAGGGATGATTCTTGTGATAGTCCTGAAGGAAAAAAATGTAGGGAAAACCTGAGTTTTCTTAGAGAAAATAGTCTTACCTAAATAGTCTTCACTAGAACATTGGTGGAAAGACCAAGTAAAGCCATTCGGATGATACCTCAGATGAAACTGAGGAATGTATGATCAGAAACTGAAATATTCAGTGGTAAAGCACAAATGTAATTCAAATTCTTTGCCACTTTATAAAAAAAAGCAAGACTGGAGTTGTGGTAGAGTGCTTGCCTAGCATGTGTGAGGCACTGGGTTCGATCCCCACACCACATAAAAATAACATAAAGGTCCATCAACAACTAAAAAAAATAAGAAAAAAAAAAAGAAAACTGGGCTTGGGTGTAACTCAGTAGTGTGTCTCAGGCCCTTGCATCCATACTATATTAAGCCAAGAATTTTAAAAAGCTATTTAGATTCATAGAGAAACTAAGGCAAGAGTGTTCCAACCATCTGTGCACTCATGGTGGGTAGAGTTGACAGAACCAAAGTCATGCCCAGATCAGTGAAGGGCATGTCTCATGGCCTTCCCCACAGGAAAGGGCCCATTACTGGATTTGATCCACAGTACCACAAATTAATTTTTTAAAAAGATTTATGAGCAAGGGCTGTAGTTCAGTGGTAGAGCGCTGGCCTTACACATGTAAGGCACTGGGTTTGATCCACAGCACTGCATAAAAATAAATAAATAAGTAAATTTTTTTTATAAAGATTTATTTCAGAAATTCTTAGTCTGGCCATGTTTTAAAGAATGAAATAAGCATGTCTGGAAAAGAACTCCAAGGTGTGGCCAAACAATCTTATGATAAGGAGATCAGTATGGAACCACAGAAACCAGATGCTATTCATCAGGACAGTGGAAAAATGACCCCAGAGGCATTTTGGAAATTATCAATGCTGCCTTTAGCATCACAGGCCCAGAATGTCAAGGCCTCAGGAATAGAAAGATGTCAGAAGAGGAACCTCACCCACCTATTGGCTCCCCAATTTCTGCCATAGCACTCCTTGCCTGCCCCAGGTGTGGTGCAGGTTCAGTGACCACCACTTTGAAGAGCACCATATTATTCATGTGGTGCCATCTTCACCATAACCTAGAGTGCATAAATT